AACACATAAAGAAAATGTGAAGCTTCTCACTGTCAGAGAAAACCCTGATAAGATGAATTCCCTAAGGGCAAAAGTCACCATGATAAAGAGAACCTAGCCTAAGATAGGGTTAAAATACTGTGATTTTAAAAGCACACCTGATGTTTTGGGGGTCTCCTTAATTTTCTGATTGTATTCCTGGAGGAGTGCTTTGTTAAAAAAATGGGACTGGCTTTAAAAAAGGAAGCACCATTAGCCAAAGTTAGCACAGAAGCTAGCACACATCTATCAGCTGGCAAAGCAAAAAGCTGAAGCACTGCACAGACTACCCAACATGAAGAAAAACCCATTACAGGGAGGTAGGGGAAAGCAGGAGGGAGATTTTTTTTTGCTTTCCTTCCTTTGGATCATCCTATCCTATACAAGAACCCTCCACATCTTGCTGTCTCTGAGCATGGCTTTCACCTCCCTCTTCTGAGCCAAGCTTCCCCTTAGCACTGTGAGTTCAGCTGTAGAAGCTGGAGACAAAAGAGGAAACCAAACACATACTAAAAACATAAGGATTGGCCAGATGAGGATTCCTAGAAGTCAGTATCACAAAGGCTTGGTTAGCTCTCAAGCTACTAAGGTTAGGTTAGCCATGCATTCTACTTGGGAGGAGAGATAGAGAGTGTGATTTTCTAACTCCACATCTCCAGAGTTTCCTAAGCAATCTGGGGATTTACCCTGTGACTTTCAACAGGCTGTGTGATTTATTATCTCAGTCAGCTTCTCATCCTCAGGAGGTCCAAGCAGATCCAATTCAGCCTTAGGTGAAAGCGAAACCCTCAGCCCCATGCTCTGCACGCTCCCATCACGCTGGAGGGTCAGCCCCAGAGCTGCCCCAGAGCCTCCCCACGCCAGGTGCTCAGCCCACAGTCCCACCACAGCCCGTGCTTATCCTGGAGACTGCGTGTCAGATGCAGAAGTGAGTCAAGCGACCTCCAGCAGTGAGGGTGGTGGGGATGAGCGTGCATACATGGCCCCCTAGACTCCTCCTGGACCTCCCACTGTCAGCCAGTGAGTGGCATGGCACTGGCTGCCTGGGCCTGTGGGGGACATGGCTGTGCCTGGCAGTGTGGCCTGCAGACCAGCAGCTGTGAGATCTTTGGGGCTGCTCCCTGTCCTGCAGGGAGTTACGCTGATCTGGCCTTAAAAGAAAAGCCATGTAACGGTTGTCAGCTAACGTGCCTTGAGGGACAGAAACAGCCACTTGGAGGACTTTCTGAACATGTCAGCATATTATCAGAAGACAAACCCAAACCCCAAACCAGCTTAGTGATTAACAATCACATTCCTGGAGAAAGATATTTAAAATAATACCCTCTTCCCCTTAGCAGCTCAGTCTGCCAGGAGTGCCTCGGTGGCCATATGGTGCACCGACCACCACGCCAGCAATCCGGATAAGGGCTGGGACTGGCTGGAGGGTGGGGAGCAGGCCTGCCCTGTCACTCCTAATCTTCTCACATCCAGAGGCATCTTAAGTCCTTTCTAAACACGTTGATACTGCCTGAAATTCACTGAAAAAAACCCAGCCTTTGTTTGTGTTAACAGGATGAGAAAGTGCAAGGCTTCCTGTTATGTGTGTGTGACAGCTCCAGATAAGCAGAGACCTCTGGACAGGAAATCCGCCCAACTTCTGCAGTGTGATTCGCCCCAGGCTCAGGAGCCCTTTTTAGATTGGAGTACCAGCAGAATGAGCCGGTGCTGGCCCCAAAATGGGGGACACGCTGGAGAAGAGCTCTGAGGAGCCCGAGCCCTCTCCGGACAATGCGCGGTCGAGGAGGATGGAGGAGCTGGTGGAAGTCTCGAGCGGTGAGAAGGTCAAGTTTGACGACACGGGTCTGTCTCTGGTGCTCCAGAACGGCCTGGAGAACCTCCGGCTGGAAAATTCCCTTACAGATGTCATCCTCTGCGTGGGCAGCAGGGAATTCTCCTGTCACCGAGTGGTCCTGGCTGCAGCAAGCAATTATTTCAGGTAAGGCATGTAAGAAACACACCCAATAAACTTACTGTGCTTTTCAGGCTTGAAGTGTAGATCTCCAAGGACTGTAAACTGGGTGTTAAACTCTTCAAATCTGCAGCGAACTGCAAACTCAGGAATTTGCAATTCCTGAAACCTTTCAGCTCTTCTTTTTTTCATGCTGGAGACTTAAATGAGGCAGGTGCCAAGTTGTGGCTTTGCTGGAGTCCTGATACCAGCACTCAGCAAGTCTGCTGGAGGCGTGCAAAGAAACGGACAGTAGTTGGCAGGCAAGTGGATGAGAAAATGGCATTGTAACTAAGTATCTGTAGCCCCTTGTGTTGTGCCGTTGGGATTCAGGCAAAGAGGAATATTCATTCAGAGCACACGATATTTTTACAGAGGTCTGAGTGGGTTTGTGGAACTTTATAATTTTTACCTTACCATTCTGTGGTAATAATATATATTGCACAGAATTGTTGGGGAGAAAAGAGAAGGAATTTTCCATCTTTCCTAAGGTTACCGAAACTCAGCTCTGGTCAAGGGGAAATACCCCGTTGAAAGCAACTTTTCCATTTCACCCTCTCCTTATTGTCCTCTTGAGTTTTTCACTCTTTCAGTCCTACAGTAGATAGTCTGAGACTACTGACCAGCAACAACCAATTTTAGACACAGAGGAACTTGGTATCAGTTTTAGCACAGATTTTCCATTATCATTTAGACAATCACATTTGCATGGCTGGGATTTTTTTTCTTTCTTTTTTTTACTGCTAAAGTGGTCAGATGACTGAATAGCTACAGAGGAAACATGAGAAAAAAGAACCTGTGACCACTTGTGACATGAGCAGAAAGCTAATTTTAATGGAGTCTAGTGAGCTTTTTTGGAAGAACAGTTCTGCTTTAATCATCTCATAATACAGGCTATGGCTGTGAATATACAGAGATAGGTATTATTTCTATAGACAGACTCTATGTATCACCAATGTGAAAATGTGCAACTAACAGCAGAGAGTCCCCAGTATTTCCTCCCAGCATAGTGTGCAGGAAGGAGAGTAGATAAAGAAAATAAAAATTACCATGACAATACTTTGACAAAAAACCCAACTCTTCATCCTTTATGAGGAAAGGGGCTGCAGTCAGAAGGGGCTTAACAGTTAAAAACAGGCAAGACAGTTTTCTCATAAAACTACTCTTTCTGCTGAGGCCTGAGCTACAGCCTGTCCCTTTGAAGGAAGGGGGATATGTGGCTGGAGATCATCTCATCCCAAAGGAGCTGCACATGTGGGTGAGGTTTGCTCCCACCAGAGGCTTGTGTTGCCCTGGCTTCCCACAGAATTGAGATTTATCGATGTGTAGATGTGGTGCTTAGGGATAGGTTTAGTGGTGGACTTGGCAGTGTTAGGTTAATGATTGGACTTGATGATCTTAAAGGTCTTTTTCAACCTGAACAACTCTATTATATCACACTGTCTGCCTGTCTGTCTGTGCCTCTTGTCCTGCCTCTTTGGGTTAGTGTTAATCACACTCGGCAGAGGGTGGAAATCTCAGAACTGAGTTCCCACAAGTTTGATGGAAATGTGTCGCTAGGGAGAGGAGAGGTGCTGGGGCTGGGAGCCCGTGGTGCTTAGCTGGGTTAACCACCACCACGTCCTGGCCAGCCACCACCAGCAGTGCCCAGGACCAGGCGAGCACAGGCAGGGACCAGCAGAGCTGAGTGTCCTGAGAGGGACACAGATTGTGAGAGGAGTGACAAGAGAGAAGGGAGTGCTCGGGAAGGGGAAGCTGAGTGTACTGTGAAGAGGGAAAGGAGGATACAAGCCTGCAGGGAACTGGGCTTCCTTAGTTCTGCTACTCACAAGCTGGCTTGTTGCACCTTACCATAATTCACTGGAAGCTGCATGGGCCCAAAGAAAGAAGAAATCCTTAAATCAGACTCTTCCTGTGAGTACTGCTGTTACAGGGCCTCTCACAGCCGTGCAGGGGAGCAGAACAAAGGGACCCTCTGAGCCATGGGCTTCACTGCCCTGCCACAGCCTGTTACACAACCCCTTCCTGAGCGCCGGCTGCTGAAACACAAGCCACCCACAGCAGCTGACTCCAACACAGCTCAACAAAGCTCACAGCTTCTAGTCCTTCCTTCAGCACTGCTGGAGAGCAGACAGAGCAGTACTTCTGACATGTCCTGCATCTGTAGACAGAAAAGCACTAACTCTCCGCTTACCTGGATGAAGGTGACAAAGCAGAGGAGAGAAATACAAGCTGACCAAGGTGCAGCAGTAGTTCTTTACTCTTGCACTGCCCAAGGCAGTTGGAGAATGGGGCTGGGAGAGGTTGAAGCAATATTTTCCAGAGCATCCTCAAGCTCTGAATGGTTCTTTGAAGTCAGGTTTGTAACTCCAAGCACAAGCCCTCCAGCGTGTGTGGGTGCTTAAAAAGTGCTTCAAAACCAGCAACCCCTCATTTATTCCATTGAGAGATCTCCCTATTTTTTTCTAAATATACCCATTTTTAGGTATCTAAACTGGGCTTTGTGTCCTCACTTCAGATGTGCATTTCTTAGAGTAAAGTTGGTTCAAAGGCTTTGTTTAGAATTACACAGGGACACGAACCAGGGAAACGGACAATGAAGTTAGTGGCCACATCTGAAGGACTTAGAGCTCCAGAGAAAATAGTCACACACCTCTCTGGGTAAGTACAGAAAGGTTCAGAAGCAGCAATTTTAATCCCCAGGAGAGCAGCTCAGCCCGATCAGTCCTGAGTGGTGTCAGGGTGTTCCCTCTGGCTGGCACACAGGCTGGGAATGAGGTCCACTCCACCTGAGCAGAAGGAAGGCCAGTCCAGGAGTCAGGCCCCCTGGTCTGTACTGCCCTGTTCAGCCCTGCCAGCTTCCAGAGAGGAGTACGTGGGGGAGAGCTCAGGGCTGTAGATGTACATTACTGCAGGCTGCAGCCACGTTACGTGAGTGGATGTGGATGGCAGCTCTAACGCACCCTCACAGATTAGGAGACAGCACTCTAACAAGATCCTTGGGCAAAGGCTCCACCAGAATCCCCAGGGTGGCTTCTGGGGAGCCGTGCAGTGCTGTAACAGCAGTACCTGCAGCTGAGCTCCACCGAAGCCCCGGCTCTGCGGGACGGAAGCGAGAGCGCTCCCCTCCCCGCCAGGGATGGGCAGGGGTGACACCAGGCTCACCAGCCTAAGAGATAAAAGGAACAAGAGCAGACACCACCTGCATCCTACAACGGCCCGTGTCTCGTTCAGAACGAAGCGTTCGGCACCCATCAGTGCCATGCAACTTGTACAACCTCCCTCTGCCTTGAAGCCCCACTGCCAGGGAGGAGTGCGTATGGGCACCGTTGTTTTCAAATGGCCACTGCCTGCATGCCCCAGACACAACATCCGAGACTCCCAGAGGGAGAGGAGCTAAGGACAATCCCCACCTTGCACCCACTGAAGTCAAGGAGCATTTTGTCTTAATGCCTTTTGAATACTCTGATTTCAGTGGCAGCAGAAACTGGATCGTGGAGCAGAGCAGTGAATCAAAAACCTCGAACAAGCTGAGACAAGCGAAAGGAAAATGAGAATTTTGGCTGAACATCTTTTCTCACAAGTAATTTCTCTGCCCAAGTTCCCTGCTTAGGTCTCTTTATCCAAAAAGCAGTTTTGTACACTGAGATAACTAATAGCAGCTCTCTCTTGCTATAAAATCTCTGCAGAGGCAAGGAACAGGTAGCTCTTAGAGCAACGACCAGCTGGTATCTTCCACCCGTTCCCCACTCCCCACGCCCAGCTGCTTTGCAATAAGACCTGGCTACATCTTGGTTCCAGTAAGATGTGTCAATCAGACAGCTTTGTTCTGGCACTGCTTTTGCAAGAAAAGCATGGCCTAAAACTTTGGACTTCTAGCCACTTCCTAGGCTGCACTGTCCTGCCAGCATTGTATGTGACTAATGGAGAAGGGCTTGGTATGCAGGATAAAGAGCACTTCTAATTACACTGTAGATCTGCACGTGTTTTGCACCAACACAGTTACAGGTGGACTCACATACTTCAGATCTGTTGAGCCAGATTCCAAATGATGTGAAATCTGGCTCTCTGAATGCACGGAACAAGATGGGACTGATCAACCTTCTAACTAAAAGCAAAAGCACTGGCAGGAATACTTAAAACTACAAACTGAAAATGCAGATGAAGGAAGACGTGTGTTTGCCTTGCAGCACCCCCAATGCAAAGTGCATTTCAATAGCTCCTGGAGAAATTTGGGGTTTATATCCCACGTGAAGTGCCTGACTAGTGCCAAAGGTGTGTGTGGTGGTCACCTCTCAAAGGCAGTGTCACCCACCAAAGAAGAGGTGGTATCAACATGCATGAAATCACTGTGCTTAGCTCCAATTCATGATTATTCAAGTACTTGTCTGGCCAAGAGGAACCAACTCTACAAATCCTACCAGAAGCTGACAAAATTTAGCAGAGGAAAAGTCAGCCTTTTAATTAGAAGAAAATCCATCTCCTGGCCCATCCCTGGTATTAACGAGGTCAAAGATACACTGGGAAGCTTAGAGGTGCTGCTATCAGACATGGGGATCTGGTCTGGCCCTCAGGGTTCAGTCTGAGCAGTGCTGAGCAGCACAGGGGCATTGACTTTGCCAAGGGTTACAAAGTACATGTGCTAAGTGTTAATGAAGTAAGGGGAATGCCAGCAGCTTGGAGGTTGGGGCTTAAGGACCTGGGCAGGTACTAGAAAAAGAAGGAGTCTGTAAGAAGCCAGGAGGTGAGACATCACAACAGCTCTGCAGTGTCAGTTTGGACACAGAGCACTACTCAGGGAAGGTCCCAGCTGCCTTTAGCAGCCATGGAGCTCCAGGACTACTGCTCTGGGGTATCCATCACGTGTGGATGCCTTATCAAACTCACGAGTAAAGAAGCATGAAACCAAGAGAGGAATTTTCCTTGTTACTTTGCTACAGGACTAATTGCATAAAACATGAAGCAATTGGAGTACTCTGTGTTGAAACCTATATAACCAAATGTTTTCAGAATGCCTCACCCTGGCTGGGATGCAGTAAAAGATAAATGTCTTTCTTTTCAGGGCCATGTTCTGCAATGATTTAAGAGAGAAATACGAAGAGAAGATCATACTTAAAGGAGTTGATGCAGAAACCATGAATATACTCCTGGACTACACCTACACCAGCAAGATGCTCATCACAAAGGAAAACGTACAGAAAGTCTTGGAAGCTGCCAGCCTCTTTCAGGTACAGACAACTCACATGCACTCATCCAGTCTTCTGCTCTTATCCTGGTTAACACACTGCAAAACTCTCCAGTTTCATGGGTTCTTGAAGCATTTTGCTTCATATTTATTTACACTGTGGTAAAAAGTGTCAGTCTCAGCCGTGTTCTGGAATGCTGCTGTGCTGGCTGCTGTGCAAACAGGCAAGAGCCAGGCTCTGCCCCCAGGAGCTGCTCCCGTGTGCCAGGCAGCAGGGTGGTGCTGCTGGGAGGCTGCTCCCCAAGGTTCAGGCTGGCCACACTCCAGCCCAAGAGTTAGAGGGCTGGCATGGCTGGCCAGAGCAGGAAGGTGACTCTGTCTCTCCTCCACTGCCTGGAGATGGAGGCTCACCAGCCAGGGTTTGCATCCTCCTTTGTAGGACTACTGATGTAAAGGGTTTTGGTCATAACCTGGGATTTGTGGGAGGTCAGACCTGAGCAGTGTTACTCAGCCTTTGGTCCATGAGGTATTCACGTGTCCTATAAATCACCTGTGAGGTCTACCAAATTGCAGCCCCTGGCACCAAGGTGGAAATTGCTAACAAATTGCAACCAGCATAACCTGCCAAGTGCCAGCGTGGGTATGTGTGTCCAGTTCCTCAGTAAGGAATGGAAGCACCTGACTCCATAATCACCCTGGTTCATCATGAACTTCAGAGTCTTCACTCTTACACGGGAGGTTTTGCTCTGAGATGAACCTGTGGCCTTTGGGGTAACGTGAGCTGGTACTTGCTGTGGGGAGAGGAGGGAAAGTTTGCACAAGGTGCTCCCCAAGGTAACTCAGAAAAGGTGGAGTAACTTTAAAGTCACCTGGGGCCAGAGTGCAATAACTGCTGACATTTTCAGCAGGCCAATACCACAACCTGGTAGCACTTAAATGTTACTTCTGGTTCACTCTCAGGACATTATTCTGTCTTTCTGTTTTCTTCTGAACCTCTTTCCTCAGGGTCCTCAGGGCTTTTTTTCTGAAACCCTTACAAGTATAAACTTAAGATTTTTTCCCTTTCTCTTCTCTATTTTTCATTAAAATTAAGATTAAATATGATTCTTGTTGCTGGTGCTTTAAGAAAACTAGCTAACACTGCCACTAAACTACAAAAAAAAAGAAAACCAGTCACATTCAACTAAAAGCAGTGATCCCAAGTCTTATTGCTATGCTTTTGGATGCTGTCAAGATTTGTAAGGCCTTAAAGCCTCACGTTATACACGGGTAAGGTTTTTGGCTGGAAATGTGTTTTGTGTAAAAAAGATTTAGTATCTACTAACTTTCTGCCAGCTATTCTCTGCTATTTATGCTGAAGAACAAACAGAAACAGTTGAAAGAGACAAATATTTCGTTTCAGTATATCAACAGCTGGAAAGATGAATTCTGTGATTTACTGCAACATTTTCATTTGGGAAATTGTTTCCTTCCAATTAATTATGTGAGAAAATCAAATTCCAAATAGAACTTTTCTATCTAACTAGCAACAATTTTTGGCAATGCCTCCTTTCAGTTTCTCAGACTTGACAAAGAACCCAAAGAGAAACAACTTGCACAATTCTAGATATTCCACAAGAGATACTCCACTTCTCTCTAGAAACTGTTTGAAAAACTTTTCCATATTTATACCTCCCCTTAGTCCCTTCCCAGTAAGTTTTGATCGAATAGATCCAAAACTGTCACCAGGAAGAGGTGTAAGGCTGTTCAGAGAGACAGAAGTCCCTGACAGCGTGCTTTGTGTACAGAGATTTCCTCCTGGGGGAGCAGGTGATGGGTTTGGAACAGGGAGCTGCTGAACAGCTAAGCCTCACCCTGAGGTGACCCAGACGAATTTTCTCCACCTAGAACACAGTTGCAACACGAGTTCAATAGTCACCTCCTCTGTCTGGGCTGGTGGCTGCCCAGCCAGCATGTCACAAGGGTGGTGGTCCCACCCTGGTCCAGCCTAGCACGCTCTGCCGCCTGCACTGCCTGCGGAGCAGCTCATCCTTTCACCCGTCCTTGGCAGGGCCAAGATCTCAGCTGCCTCTCGGGGCTGTGGCAGAGAGCTCTGCCTGCCCCCGGGTCACTCAGCAACCTTCAGACCTGCCTGCACCCCTCCTGCCCTCCCAGGCACCTCTGCATCACCCCAGCCCCTCTGCACGGCTCGGTGGAAGCAGAGGTGGTGGAGGGAAGGAGGCTGCTGAGCAGCCTGAGGGAAGCAGAGCTGCCCCAAAGGGCTGTGAAATGCCCGCTGCAGGGGCACAGCACCCTGCCTGCTGTCCCCAGGGCACGGCTGAAGCACCCCCAGCCCCAGGGCCTCGCTGGCTCCCAAAGCACCTCTCATCCCTGTTAATCCCCTCCTCAGGAGCAAACCCTGTGAGGTAAATACCTTGCCAATTATCTGAAAACCAGCCCGCAGCCACTCGGCGCTGAGCGGCCGGGTGGCTGTCTGAGGACACTGCTAGTGACACCACAGCTAGGCAGCTGAACCACAGCTGGGACAAGCAAGGACTTCATTGAGGAGAATAAATTGCTTTATTCATCAAGATGGCCAAGTGGAGGCCAAGAAAACTTACGGCTCTAGCATTGCTCTCTAGCAAGTCAGAACCTGGATTCCAATGGGTATCAGAAGGACCCAGTTACTGAAGAAACTGTTCCCAGGAACAGGGCTTTCATCGTGCCTGGGGTGGCATTAGGAGGTGGCTCTCACAGAAGGGAAAGAAGAAAATTTAGAGCTCTGTGAGACTAACCAGAGCAGATGAAGCAGAGGCTGGGGCGTCCCTCCTGGGTACTCTCCTGAGTCACCTGCTCTCATGGGACTGACTGAAGCACACCCAGCAAGTTTGGGGGAGTTTTGGGGGGAGTTTTGTCTCTAAATGAAGGGAGTGGTGGGGAGACAGCACAGCATGGGGATGAGGAGCAGCAGCCAGGGAAAGTCCTGCCTCGATACACTTCCGAGTGGCTCGGGCTCTCTGGTTAAGGCTCGGTGGGGCTGTTTCTCACACCCACAGCTGGCAGTTCTGCAGCTGTCTGCCCACAGCCACAGCCACCCGGGGTGTCCCGTGGTGCCGCGTGGCCGTTACCCACGTGCACTGCCTGGCAGGAGACCCTCCAGTGCCATCTCCTGAGTATTGCTCTTAACAGGCCCTGTGTAAATAACCCCAGTGCTCCACAGGGGCTGGGCCAGCCCAGCGAGAACGTCCTTCTGGGGGTTATTCCCAGGAGCGTGGATGACCTCGGCAAATGCCAGGTTTGGGTTTTTGCACCATTACTGCCAGCTTTTGAGGCCTGGGGAGCAGCCGGTGTTGGCACAGTCCTTTCAGACCCTCAGGGGCACGCCCTGCTGAGCCCAGCCTTAGCCCTGTGCTAGCCCAGCTCGTGGGGCAGCGGGGCAGGTGCCAGGGCTGGCAGCGGTGCCACGGCGTGCCGCTGCCCTACCTACACAACGGCAGCAACTCCTCTGAGAGCTCCTGCACCCTCCTTCACCAGGCAGTTGCATTTCTCTAAACTCTTGACCACATCTAAATGTAAAACAGGAACCAGGCAGTCTGCGCGCAGCGTCTGCCATCGCCGGGCTCTGGTAAACAGGCTAATTGTGTCAACACGACACCGCCGGGCCCAGCAGGTTCTGCCCTCATTACTGAAACAAATCTACATACTACTGTGTTTAAAAACGTTTCGCTTCCTCTTTGCCCCTAAATTACTGCTGTGCAGCTTTCCCCAGTGGGACAGAATGAGTTAAAATTGTTTGCCTGCTGACGCTGGATGGAAAAAGGACCCAAAAAGCACGGAGGGAAATGCAGAGCATCAGCTCTGACCCGTCTGGGTCTGTGCCACTGTTTGCACAGCTCAGTGGCAAAACCAACATGGAACACTGATGCCCTACCTGTAGCTGAAATCAGAGGTGGTGGAAAGCCCAGGCTGAAGCACTGTAACTTGGTAGTTTTAACCCAAACTGGTTCCCAGTTCCTAAATAATCACCAGCAACCAGCAACGTCGTGGCTCACAGCAAATGCCCCCCAGACACCTGTGCTCCAGGAGCTGCACATTGGGGACCCTCAGGTGGGGCTGCTGTGCAAAGGAAATTGATGAGAGTTGTGATGCTCTACTGAACACAAACATGGTGAGTTCTTTGACTAAGCAGACTCTGTGTGTAGAACACACGTCTGTGTTGTTTTGAACCCACAGTGATGCCAAGGAAAACAGGTCACTAACACCTCTGAAGGCCTCCCCCACAACAGACACCTGGCAGACAACCCTGGCTGTCAGGCAGCTCAAAGACTTGCTGATGGTCAGTCTCCTCCTGCCACGTACCCCAGGACAGGACAGCAAGCCCATCCATGCTGGGGGGGCTGCACTTTGGCCCAAACCCCAGAGACCTCAGCACTCATTTTCCACCACCCCTGCAAGGCCTCAGACACGTAAAGTGTTCATATGGTGGGCACATAAATGCAGACTGTGGAGCCACCTGCACTCTAAAACCAGGCTAACTTCTAGCTGATATGAGTTGATGTGTAAGATGAAGCAGGTCTGAAGCCTGGGGATCTTCTGTGCTTTGTAACTTTGTGGCTGCTAGTGCTTTTCATGGAGGGAATGGTAGAAAACCCTTTACTTTGGAGAAACAAATAAAGTTAATGACTGTCTTCTGTGTCCTGCAAGAGGGAAAAGGAGCAATAGGGATGTAGAAGGAGAAAAAACAGTGGGAGAGAAAAAACAGTGGGGAATTTTAATTTCAGACTGCAGGTTCTGGGAGGTACCCGTCCTTGTATGACTGATTTCTTGTCTCCCCCTGCTCTCTGCTGCACCGTGCGTGGCTGGCTGGGACCCAGTGCCAAAGCTCCGTAGCTCCCCCGGGACACAGCCCCCCTCAGTGCTCACACTGCGTTGTCTGTCCCCAGTTCCTTCGCATGGTGGACGCCTGTGCCAGCTTCCTCACCGAGGCCCTGCAGCCGGAGAACTGCGTCGGCATCCTGAGGCTGGCCGACGCCCACTCCCTGCACAGCCTGAAACAGCAAGTGCAGAACTACATCATCCAGAACTTCACGCAGGTGCTGAACCACGAGGAGTTCCTGGAGCTGCCGGCCGAGGTGCTGTGCAGCACGCTGCGGAGCGACGAGCTGCAGGTGACGGAGGAGGCGCAGGTCTTCGAGACGGTGATGGGCTGGGTGCGGCACCGGCAGCCCGAGCGGCTCCCCCTATGCTGCAGCACGTCCGCCTGCCCCTCCTCGACCCCTGGTACTTCGTAGAGACTGTCGAAGCCGACCAACTCATCAGGCAGTGCCCAGATGTTTTTCCTTTGCTCCAGGAAGCAAGAATGTACCACCTGTCAGGCAACGAGGTGAGTGAAGGAAGAAGGTATCGCTGCTCTCCTGAATGTCTCACGCTTCTGCTCAAAACCCCCATCGGAAGGAGCAGTTCTGGGAGGCAGAAACAAGCACTCACACTGAGGTTTCACTAACTGGTGCCACTGAGAAGCCAAGGTGGGTCTCACCAGTTATCCTGATGATTTAGTTTAGAAGCTTTTGGCAGGTTGTTTTAAAACAGAGTGCACAGCTTCCTGTTTATGAACATCTGAGCTCAACCCTTCATACACACAGTGCCACAGCTACACACAGACCCCAGGTGACTTCCCCAGCAGAGAGGCAAACGGTGTAACTCCTGACACCTCACCTTCTCAGCTATTATTTCAAGCCTAGGAAAGGAAGAATAATTTTCCCTCTACGCTGTACCACAATCTGGAATGACCCTTTCAAATCTGAGTATGTAACATCTCTGTCTGTTATTTATGGGGGAAATGTTTCAGAGAGAGAGGACCTCCTGTGAAGAAGACAGTCTCTCCCCAGGGAAGAGGTCTGCCCATCTTCCTCATTTGCAGAGGTCCCTGCGCCCAAAGAGTCAGGTTCATCCTGCCATCCAATCCAGTCCTGTCCTGCCAGCTTGAGGTTGGCTGTGGTGGGTCTCCAGTTCTCCAGCTGCCCACCCTCTTTGGAAGGTTAGCTATCAATCAGTCACGTCTCCTGACCCAAAATATGGGGTAGAGGGGAGAGCAACCAGAGGTCAGATTTCACAAGAGGAGCAGAGGTATGTGAGTGTGTGAGGAAACGTGTGTTCCTCCTCAAACAGAGAGCTGGAGGAAGGCAGGAGGCCTCCAGAGCAGGCTGTGGATCCAGCATGAGCAGGGGATGTGTCACTGGCAGGGGGAAGAGGCCAAGGGCTCCAGAACATGACCTGGGGCAGTGCTGGCCAGTCTGGTGGGAACTCCTTGCGGCAGCCTCGCCCCTCTCAGCAGTGCTGCCAGGTCCACAGGGGACAGATAAAGGGAGTGTGGCTCAGGGCTGAACACTCATCACACTCACCTCCAAAGGGGCAGCCGTCAGGGGCAGCCCTGCCAGTGATCCCCCCAGGGGCTGACACCCACCAGTGGTGACAGGTGGGTTAAAAACAGAATTCTGAATGCTGGCAAGTTCTGGAATGGATGTTTTAAAAAACTTAGCCTAGTAATTTGCTAAACATGGGAAAATAGGAGATTTATGCCTGTGTAAATAACATCTTTTAATATAGATATATTACACCAATTTATGGAAACCTGCTAAAAGTGGAAAGGGAAGTAAGTAAGCAAGCTGCCTACTGGCACAGCACTGAACCCGTGGGTCCACGGACTGCTTCTCCAGGCCAGGCAGGAGGGAACCCCACAGAGGAGGCTCTCCCAGCAGGCTCTGAGGGTCTGCAACTTGGCAAATGCCCTGTGACACAGCATAAGCAGGGAGACAAGTTTATATGCTCCCCACACCTTCTACACTGAGTTTCTTCCAGTATGAAAAATGAGGAGGCTGGGGAGGATAAAGGAGGTTATTCCTTCTCTCCTTCAGCCAGAACACCTCGGGACACTCCTGCACTCGTTTCCTGCAGGTATTTCCTCCAGGAGGAACACAAGTTTCCAAACACCCCCTGCATTCTTTGCTCCTGGTGAACATCTACCCAGGAAGTGACTTTTTTTTCCAGTGTCCCTGAAACAAAGCCCTGGTCTATAAACTGAGCCAGCAGACAGCAAATTAGAGCTAACCACGCTTCAAAGCCTGGTGCAGGCTTTAAATAAATCTTCCAGTTCAGGCTTCAAGAGGAGGCTTATAAACAAAGAAAGAAATACAACCCCCCACAGCTGAGAACTGTCATTGCTGTGACACTTCAACAGATCTCACCAGGACACATACTGAGAGCATTTACTTTCTGCTAACCCTAACTGCAGTCTTGCTCTCTCCAAGCTCCCCCGGGCATACACAAACCTTGGGGCCCTCCTACCTTGCCCCCACTTTGTCAGCCCAGATAAAACCTGTCCTTTTCAGCTGCCTCAGGTGCACCCAGCCTTGTCACTAGTGCTCACCTTCACAGCTCTTGGGGGCACCCTGGGAACTCCCAAGAAGATCTGAAAGGATCCTAGTGGGTAGGCAAAAGCAACTAAATCTATAGTTGGAGAAATCCTGATGAAAGAAAGATACAGCAAGCTCTACTGAATGCTTCTAGGGTGCTTTCCAGGCTTGCAACTTAGAGAGTGTTTGATAATTGGTTCATCTGATGTCTGGCAGTTGTGATTTGCAAAACAGGTAATCAGAAAAAAGGTCACCAGAGCTTTGTGTAATTGGAGGTGTCAGTGCCCTGTGTACTCACTCTGTCTTGCTTGCATTTAGATTATTACAGAAAGAACCAAGCCCAGGATGCACGAGTTCCAGTCTGAGGTGTTTATGATCATAGGGGGCTGTACAAAAGATGAGAAGTTTGTAGCAGAAGTGACTTGCCTGGATCCTTTGAGGCGAAGCCGCCTGGAAGTAGCAAAATTACCAATCACAGAGCAGGAGACGGAGAATGAGACTAAGAAGTGGGTGGAGTTTGCATGCATTACCCTAAAAAATGAAGTCTACATATCGGGTAAGGAACAAGACTTTGGGAGTGGAAGAGGGGAGAGGAGGGTTCTCACAATTAGCTTCTCACAGTTCCTTCCAGCTTTTGTCGAGAGCCTGCTCGAGGCAGCTTTAGGAGAATTAAGCACTGCAGGTATTCCTAATGCTTTGGCTCTGACCAGGTTCCAGAGAAGTGCTGGACGTGTGAGGACACTGCCTAGCCCTGGTCTGGAGAGGAATCTCACAGGATTCCTCTCCAAACAACATTAATCTGTACACATGGCTACTTGTGTGCAGCACCCTCAAGACTCGGTGACCGTGCTTGCAGAAAGGCCCCTGAGAACAGTTTACCCAATATAAAATGAAGAATAATTGTTCCAGCATCTTCTTGTAACAAGTCCATGTGCAGGAGCCCTTCAAGAGCCATCAGACAGGACTCCAGAAGTGCCCACTTGCCAACAGTACTATTAACTGTCAAAGCTGGATGAAACCAAATGGTCCAGACACACATCCCACCTGCAGGCCCCATCCTGAGAGCTTCAGGAGGCATGTTTAACTTTGCACACAAATACAGCTGAGCTGCATGTAGGGGTTTGATCCTGGAGCTATAGAGTTCTTACTTTGACCATGAAAAGGTTAAGCTCAACCCTGCTAGTCAGTTTGACCCCTGGCTTTGATGGCCTGTCAAAAACAAGTTGGGTGATGTCATTCTGCCTGGCAGAGGAGAAGTGACAGCGAGCTTTTGATCACTGTCAGTTACAGGCCACGGTACAGAGCAGTGCCCTGGGCACAATGCTTCCTCCTGCAAAATCATCCCCCAAACCCTCTGCTCACTTAAAACAGGAGAAAGGAGAAGGGAGGGCTGAAGTGTGAATGCTTTGCTTAAGCATGAGGAGCCATCCATTGCCTTTATTCAAATATATTCCATTGCATTCCTTCTTTTGGGAACCCACACATTACTTCATTCCATCTTAAAACTTATTAAATCTTTATCCTGGGATAAGAATTAGATTATTCCTTCCCTAGTTACAAATAAGGGTGGTTTTTCCTTTCAGCCCACCATAAGGAGTTTCTTTTTACTCTAGAGGCAGACCCTGTGTTACAAGTTAGCTATAGAGGGGAACCTCAGACATCCCAGCTAGGGAACATCCCTCACACCTTCACACCCTTGAGCTGAGAGGTCTCTTTTCCTTTTGCCTTTTATCTCTTACCCTTTCCTCTTTTTCAAGGTCACAGGCCTTTGGCTTCCTTTTATTCCTGACATCTTTTCCAGTGTCTCTTTTCCACTCTTCCTTTGTGCTCTGGCCAGGCTAGCTCCAGGCCAGGCTAACACCTCCCCTGCTCTGGTGAGTCTAAGCTGGCTCTCCTCGTGCTGCTGTTCTCACAGGTCCTCCTTCTTCCTTCCCTGCTTAACTTCCTATCCTGGACTCCCTCTCTCTGTTCCCTCTTAGCCTTTCTCCTACCTCCTTTTCACCCTTCCCACCCAAAAAAGTGCTGAGTGGGCCAAAATCATTAGTAGTTTCTTTCCAGCCAAACAAAATTATTAGGTTTTCAATCCAAATTAAACATCTGCTTGTCTACTCTTGTTCTCTTAGCTCCTGTGACTTGGTTCTTTTATAACTCGACTTAAATCTTTCCTAACTTGATCTCCCCTCTCACATGCTCATTTCCCTCCATATCTTGGTACAGTCTGGAGCCCTCCCTGCTCTTACCATCTGAACAACAGGAAAGTCCTTTGCAGAAGATGATGGCTACATTTAGATCACCATTTCCCTGAACAGTTAAATCCCTCGGATGGGCTGCAACACTACAGTTGTAGGGTAGCTAATAATGACATGAAGGACCTGACACTCTCCATTCTGTTACTTTTTACTGATTTTGTTACAATTTTTCCTCCAATTGGAAAGAAGTGTGGTCTAAAGAAAAAACAGAAACAAAATACTCCCCTGTTCTGTCAAAAATCTCTCCCTGCCCCCTGATGTGCAGCAAACTGACCAGCAGGGTCCAGCTCAGGCTCCTAGCAGAGTTTCAGTGCAGGCAAGACCAAGCTGGTGTAAAAGGGAACTCTCCGGGGAGGGCTCCAGGAACACCTGCAGCCTCTCAGCCCCCTGTAACCCTGAATGCTGCATTCAGGCCCTTCAGCCACTTCAGCTATTTGAGTGCAAATAAAACTCAACACATACATGTGAAAAATACTGAGACAAAAGCATTACAAACGACTCTTTCTAGCATGCTAATTATCTCCTATTCAATCTGCCATTTGGCCCAGAGATGAGCTCCATCAGTTTGCAGTGATCTGGCTGCAGTACAGAATACCAATGAAGGCAGACACTTTCTCAATGGAATATGAATTCTCTTTTCAGTATATTCACCAGTGAAGCAAATGTTTAATCAGGTTACAGATGATGGAATAAGCTACTCAGTCTGTAAATGTGGTTTCAGGCTTAACTAGATCCATTTGTATTGCAGTTACACCAAAAATTATATGCCAACAAAACTGCTTGTCTAAAACACTGCTCTCTGCTTTAGCACGAGTAAAGATTCACTTGCACGTCAGCTCTAGAACGAGTTCACAGGGTGCAGCTCTGATCTTCAATCTATAAATATGAAGCAAATCCAAGTCAGTGGAGAAAGAGACCAGAAGGAGAGGCACAAAAACAATATCCCAGCCATATGGCCCCAAGGTTGCACAGGAAAACCTCTAATGTGTCATGCAGGACTGCTGTGGGTAGGAGTTCAGAGACAGGTCTTTTGTTTTGTGATGTAAACCACGAGGCTGAGCTGACTGGATCTACCCTGCACAAACTGGCAGTTCCTGCAGCATCCTCCACTGTCCTACTTAAACCAAGTTTATTTGTCCCTTTGCAGCACTCTGCAAGGCCTGGTGCTGCACAAAAATCTCCTGTATGTCACTGCGCTGCGTGTGGCTGGTCATTCACTTGGTATTAAAATGAAAGTGGTTGTGGTCTGGTAAAGCAAGGAACAGTGAATTATCTGTACTCAATATTTGGCTGCAGAAATTTTTCAGAGTTTTCTTCACTATTAAGTAAACTAAAAGCAGGAATTTCTTCTGGTATACCAGGGCCACGCCATTGGTGGTGACAGTGTAGGCAGTTAAGCTAACAATAAGGACCAATGATTTTTTTTTCTATTGTGAGAGAACATTTTAAGATTTAAACATATTGGAGACATTCACATGTGTCACGTACACTGCAGGTGGCAAAGAAACAAAGCATGATGTCTGGAAGTACAACGCCTCCATCAACAAGTGGATACAGATCGAGTACCTGAACGTGGGGCGCTGGAGGCACAAAATGGCCGTGCTGGGGGGCAAGGTCTACGCCATCGGGGGCTTCGATGGCATGCAGAGGATCAACAGCATGGAGGCCTACGACCCCTTCCATAACTGCTGGTCAGAGGTGAGATGCTGCAGCCCGCTACATTTTACTCATCTGGAGCATTTTAATGAGTAAATCTTAAGGCTTTGAATCATAACAATGAACGAGACAGGATCTTGTACAAGACTTTTAAGTATTTCTTGTACTTAAAATATTTCTTGTATGGAAATGCATATCCTTCAGAGAGTAAAAATCTCAGGATTGCCTGCCAGTCATTGCCTGTGAGACATCTAATGCCTAACTTCCCTTTCCTGAGGTGGCTTTTAAGGCTAGTAGCCCATAAATCAGTGAGTAAGAACGTAGTATACATGAACCAGAGCACAGGCAGAAAACAACTGCTCTTGTATCTAATAAATGTATATATACACACTGTGTATATCAACCTGTGCATTATATATGGCTTGGATTGTACATTTAAGTTGAAAGTACAGGTTTCACGATAAACAGAATGGAAAAAAACCCAGTTCTACTAACTGTACTTAAAGCAGTAAGAGGAGAGTATTAAGCAGCCAATTAATCCATGAAAGCAATGAGATTAGGCATTATAAGGGCAGATACAAACCCTAGGTTTTAGTTGATAAAAAGCAATGTGGAGGAATCTAACAATCACAGCTGCAAGTAGAAAGATCAGTATGAACAGATCTGTTGTGTTTTTTCAATGTATGTAAGTATGTAAAGGAGATCTGGGGCACTTCTGACATTCCCTACCTTTAGAATCATTGATCACCTAATTTTAATAACAGCATTTGAACACAGCATAGATCTATTAAGGGGTTTACAGTCTTAAGAAAAAGCTGAAACATACTTCACCCTTATCCCTAGAAACATCATCCTCTGAACCCTCCTGATCATCTCACAAGAGCTGTCTGACTTGTAACTCAGCAGGCTCCCACCCTGTGGGCCTTAGCCCGACTGCTTCAGATGGTTACTGACGACTCTGTACGGTCCCACAGGCTGCTCCCCTCCTGGTCAATGTCAGCTCCTTTGCAGCAGCCAGCTACAAGAAGAAACTCTACGTCATTGGGGGAGGGCCCAACGGGAAGCTGGCAACAGACAAGACTCAGTGCTACGACCCTGCGACCAACACGTGGAGCCTGAGGGCTGCCATGCCAGTAGAAGCCAAGTGCATCAACGCCGCAAGCTTCCGTGACCACATCTATGTTGTGGGTAAGTGAAGCATTAATCCTTGTCTAGACACAGCAGGACTTCTGTGTGCTTGTTTTACCCACGAACTCCATGGACTATGATCAAACGATCAGCTGGCTCTTCCCATTGAGCTAGTGAGGGATGGGAATTCAGCACATTCACAGAGCCACCAAGTCAAGCTCCCTGTTAGCATGGTAGAGATCTTGGAAAGCTGGAGCCAGCCCAGAGACCACTTAAAGCCATCCAAAGGTGGGCTCATAGTGCAAGGGCATGATTTCATGGCTACATCATGTCCCCCCTCCTCTCCATGGGCATTACACAGCCCACTGCACACAGGATTTAGGTAGGGACATGAGTACCAGCAGCAGGTCATGGAAGCAGAGCCACCCATACCCAAAGACCCCATCCTCTTCTCTACATTGTGCTTGGGATTAATTCAGTCATTGACAAAACTGGAAGCAAAGATGGAAGAGCAAGAGTTGAATGGTGGTGAGCTGAACTGTGGAGGGAGAAAGGAGCCTGCACACTTCTCCAGATGGTGCTGGAAAAACCAAAAGAAGGAATGAGGAACATTTGTTTCCAAAACAGGAGCTCTGAAAAGTTCCCCCTCCCTGTCTCGTGGTGAAAATTCCTCACTTGCAGTAGAATCAACATGGTGCTGGGGGCTGGCATAAAGCCAGAGTATCACCAAATAATAAATGATGTTCTGAAGGGAGGTTTATAATCTGCATGTGCATGCACACCCATCCGTCTGTCTGTCTATCTGCATGCACCTTGTGCATATGTAAATGCTGTGTGCTTCTCCTCAGCACAGGGGCTGACCTTACCCTTTTGGTTACTGCATCCAAAGCAATCAAATTACCCAGACTGATGAATTCCCAGCTGCCAGATGAATCACTGTAACTAACAATGTGCATGTTTTCAGTCTGCTCCAGCTGGGAAATAAAATTTAAGTCACCTCAGAATGACTCAATCACCCCTCGAGTATTTGACTGGCACTGTCAAAACCAGCCTTTACTGTAACTTCAGGAGACAAATGCTCACTGTGCTAGCAGGTAGGACCCCAGGCACTGCTGCACATAAGATGATTGGTTCTGTCTGACAAATCCCTCAGTGAGGAAGGGGCTTCTGAAAACAGCCACCTCCAGGCAGAAGGAGGGTTGATGGACAGATGGGCACTGAAGTCAGAGGAATCAGTGAAAAGATCCTGTACCTGCTTCCAGTGGTGACAGCTCACCACACCTGGTCCTTCCTGATCCCAGCTCTTTTAGAAAAGATTGTATTTTCCCAAAGTGGTGTCCTCAGCTGAGGCAGCAGGTATGAGAACGCTCTGTTGCTGGGTGTGCTGTGGTCACACTGCATGACCACAGCAGTTTGTTTTGGCCTTAAATTCCACAGCTTTATGAACAATACGTGGCCTTCTGCGGAACTGGCTTTGAAAACAATGAAGCATCCTGTGACTTTGCTTTTTCTTAGCTTTGGGGCGTAAATCTTTCTGACCAGCCTCAGGAATGGAGCCTTGCTGAAGTGGGTGGTTTGATGAAAACCTCTTTCAGGACTGGCCGGTGCAAACTGATCTCCATTTCCTCTGCAGGTGGGGCGATGAAGGCGCTCTACTCCTACAGCCCCCAGGCAGACACGTGGTGCCTGGTGACCCAGTTCACCCACGAGCGAGCCAGCTGTGGGATTTCTCCCTGCAACAACAAGCTGTTCATCACCGGGGGCCGGGACGAGAAGAACGAAGTCATTGCGACAGTGCTGTGCTGGGACCCCGAAACTCAGAAGCTGACAGAAGAGTGTGTCCTGCCCCGGGGGGTGTCTCACCACGGCAGCGTGACCCTCAGGAAGTCCTACACGCACATCCGCAGGATTGTGCCCGGGGCGGTTTCCGTCTGACCCCGGGAGACCTGCAGGGGAGCCCAGCACCTCCGTGCCCCTGGGGCACAGGCTGCAGGATGGAAACGCCACCCCTGGGGTCCTCTGGGGAGTGTCTGTATATACGCTCAGTCCTCTCCTTTCCTCTGTACAGTATATCCTTAAGTTATCTCAATTCCTTCCCCCCACAGAAAAACAAAGGGACCAGCTGTAGCTTACTCTTGCCAGCACAATACCTCCAGCCAGGCAAAGAGATGTGCTGTGTAGGTGGGAAATTCACCTCCCTGCTCTATCTGCCCTGAAACGTGCTTGAACTGGCTCACCCTGGTCCCGAAGTTTGTTCAACTATTTATTGTGTTAAGCTGGATTTGTAGCACCTAATAGAGAAAAAGAGAAGATGCTTTTTTTTGGACTGAAAGATTTGTAACCGTGGTGAAACCTAATGTTGCTTCCTCCAAAGCTGGGTTGTTTGTTTGTTTGTTTTCCGTGGGTTGACACATTAGACTAAGTTAAAAGCGTTTTCTTTGTTTGTTTGCCTGTTTGAAGACACTTTGCTGGTTTTTCAGTCCTGTGTGACCAAACCAACCCACCTGGGCCTGCACACCTTGCTGTGCCTCCCAGGCAAGAGGCTGCAGGGGCTGCAAAGAGGAACGGCCGCCCCGCGGTCCCCCTGACCGCCCC